GTAGAGGAAAGCTGATTCTAAAAGAAAATCAGAAAAGAGAAAAATAAAAGTTAAAAAAATTGAGCATTGTTACCACAAGTGAGTTCTTTCTTCATTTTCTTAGATGCCTTAACACATATATCAAGCTATAACTTATGAGAGTTGCACTCTGAAGGAAAAGGCAACTGACAGATCCCTTCAACACATTGATGAGTATTGCCAACCATTTACTTGGGGTCACAGTACTTGAGAACAGGCATATAAAAACTCATTCACTTCAGTGGTAACCACTAGAGCTGACAAAGGCAGGAAAAAATTAGTTAAAATTTTGCTTTAGCATTATCTTATCATTGAAGGGCTGTTCCAGAATAAGCATCCCCTAAGGGTGAACTGTAAACCAATAGTTAGTTATTTGCTACACTACTTAAGAAACTAAGAGTTGCTTGTGAGTAGATTATGATAATCACTCTCTTGTTCAGATGTGCTTTGGTGGTGTGGTATTTTCCAAACAAAATGTAAAGGCAGATTTTGTCTTAACAGCAATGCGTGATTCACATTTTTTCGGAAGAAAATTCAGATCTATCAATATTCATCTCAACTTTATATTGACCATTAACAAATCAATTGGTCATTCTATTGGTTTATAAAGATTATATGAATTGATTTAAAATCATAACTTAGAACACTTCTAATAAATAAGACACTGTCATGCTGTATGGAAAAATCAGGCATGTAACTCCCCAGACATGTGCAAGACCATATATGTTCATTTTCCTGAAGAGAATGCTTATGGTGGAAGGTACATTTCTAGCTTTTTCTATGTATATTAAGTGCAAACTTAAATTTCTCAAGTGGAAAGTTAAATTAATTACATCTTTCTGTATAAACAAAATCAATACAAGGAGCTAAAGGCTAAAAGAATTATTCTGCATTGACAACATGAGCATTAAGAAAACAAAAGATCTGCATAAACTTGAGCTTAAGAAAACAAACTAGAAGAAAAATTTAAATAATATAGATTCCATTTGATTTTCAGATATTCAATCTAGACTGGCAGAAGAATGCAGCTCAGCATTTTTAAAGAGGTACAGTCATACTTAAGCAGTAAGCAAATGTAGATATCAGTACTTAAAAAGTATACTAGCGTGAAAAACACAAGGATTAGGGGTAGCAAAAGTAAAACAAGGTAACAGTATAAGTTAAAATTAGCATAAGACTTTGCTCCTAATTCCAAATTTGTCAAAATTCTATTGGCTTTGGGAAAGTTTCCTTGAATGCACTGAGAAGCCAGTGAAAGACAGTAGATGGTTTTCAGCTGAAATTCTGAAGTACCCCTAATTAGCATTAGTGTCAAAATTTCAGAAGATTAGTCCTAAACATTTGGAAATTATTCAAATTTGCATACCTCTCTCTTTGAATAAAAAAAGCAAGACAGCAATTCCCCACTCTTTCTGATTAACATGAATAGAATTGAGAAGCAATTCTCAACTGTCTTCCCACGTGTCCCTATTTATAGCTTTCAACTCTGCTTTCTCTGTCTCATGCCCTCTTCACTCATAAATAGTTAGGAACAATTGGGAAACTGAACTCTTTTACATGATATAGATAGCTTATTCTGTCTTTTTTCACTTACAGGCCAACACTCTGCCCATGTTACATAAAACTGACTAAGAATTACACTTAACTATAAAGCATTGTTAATGCTGTGAAGAGACAAAAGTAAAAAGTCGAGACATGCATCTTCTAATGTAGACAGTTGTTAACACTTCCTGTGAACTGGAGCAATGAAAAAAACACAATATCCTCACTGCAGAAAGCAAATGTTTGCTAGAGGTTCCCTAGGACACAGTATACAGCACTGCCAGATGTACACAAGTAGGAAAAGAACCTGAAAACTTTGACAAGAGTTAGACAGCCCAAGAGTTAAAGTATGGGCCAAAGAGGACCAAAATTTCCGTTCCAGTGATATGTAATACACAGAGAAGGGGAGTATCTATATTGTTTTTAAGAATTTTGATTAATGCATATCTGAGCTTATCCAGCTGGTATTGTCCTTTCTGACAGCATGAGACTGAGTCAAATGGATGACTAAAAAGAAGAAAGAGGAAATGGAACAGTGACCAGAAATAAGCCACCCTGTGGGTGAACAGTTTCAATAGTAGTTGAGAAGAACAGAGAAGCTACTCACTAAGAAGGTGCTATTCAAAGATGTTAAAATTCGACAGCTGGTTTCAAAGGCCAAGGGCCTAATATCATAAGAGCACTCAACACAGAAGAGCTATGGGGCAACCCAGGCTTTGCCCTGAGAGAATATAAACAAAATAGACAAGCCAAAAAAATAAAGAGAAGAGGGAAACCCAAAGCCAGGAAAGTATCTGAGGTGATGAATGGTAGGCTTAATGTTAATTCCATATTTCATATCTGTAGGTTTAACATAAATTACGGAGGATGGAACAAGAGGAGATGGTGGAATAAATATAGTAAGAGCAACCAGTGAAGACAAAAGAAAGAAAATAATCAAGAGGTGTCAGTCATTGAAAAACGAAACTGATGAGAAAATACGTGGGCAAATTTTGGACTTTACACATTATGTGCTACGTATTATCAGTCTGTTCAAACTCTGCACCAAGGTGACAATCTCTTTTCAAATATAACACACAAGTTCTAAAGCAAAAAGTATACTCTCAAAAAAGGACAAACAGAAGAAACACTAAACAAGGCAACCTCCTTAGGTATCAAGTGATCCTCATTTTTTCTGAGAACATTCTGGAAAAGACAAAATATGATAAAAGACTTCAACAGAAGCTCATGTTTAAACACAAAACCCTATCAAGTTAAAGTTCAGACAGTAAGTGGTTAAAGCACTTGAAAACACAAACTAAATACCCGAAAAGCATTAAATAAAGTAAGTTTTTCCTTCGGTAGAAACTCCGTTCCTAGATTTCTAACCATTAAAACACTACTCCATTTTTTTGCCTTGTTTGAGTCAATCCTAATCTAAGATCAGGACTCATTTTGAATTAGCTAGGTTTCTTTTTTGGTCTGATTGATCCCAAACTGTACAGAGAATATCTGACTTCCTAATGTAATAGAAGCTCTTCCTGGTGACTTTTTACCACATGCATTTTGAATGGCTGTGATCAACTGAAAATAGCATATGGATTAGAACGAAAGCAGTGATTTAACTCAAGGCAAGAAACTTCACAAAAAAGAAACTGTTTCCTCCGTAAATGGTTTACACAAACATATTGCCTTCTGTTTCAGAAAGGTGATGTTATAGCCAAAAGATAATGAAAACAAACACAGCTTGATTACAGTTTTGAGTGACTCCAACTTCTACGATAGAAAACAGTACCGCTTGATGACATGGAAAAACAATTACAGCAATACTTACTTCATTAAAATACTCTAGTTTTAATCAATTCCAGCTTGAATTCTTGCAAAAAAACATTAATTAGTGTTTATATTGTAGGAAAGCCAAACCAGCCTCTTCCTGAGTGAGTTTTAAATTATGCCAGTTAGGCACATAGCACCTTCAGTGATAATATGGTACTACCTCTACAGTTCCTTCTCTCTCTGTATTTCAAAATATTCTGAATATACTGGTTATTCTGTCAAGTTTGGTGCTGTTTCTTTATTCTTTCTTAGAGGGTTAGCAGCACAAATATCAGAAAAGACACTTTCTCATTATAGAACTGTGACAACTATTTCATATTCAAAATAAATTAAAAACAACATATATACTTCCTTCCCGCATATTTTCACACAGAAAAGATCATAGAATCACAGAATAGTTGGAAGGGACCTTAAAGATCATCTAGTTCCAACCCCTCTGCCATGGGCAGGGACACCTCCCACTAGACTGGGTTGCTCAAAGCCCCATCCAACCTGGCCTTGAACACTGCCAGGGAAGGGGCAGACACAGCTTCTCTGGGCAACCTGTGCCAGTGTCTAACCACCCTTGCAGGAAAGAATTTCTTCCTAATATCTGATCTAAATCTACCCCCTTTCCATTTAAAACCACTACCCTTCATCCTATCACTACCCTCCCTGCTCAAGAGTCCTTCCCCATCTTTCCTGGAGGCCCCCCTGAAGTACTGGAAGGCTGCTATAAGGTCTTCCTGGAGCCTTCTCTTCTCCAGGCTGAAAAACCTCAACTCTCAGTCTGTCTCATAGGGCAGGTGCTCCAGGCTCCTGCTCATCTTCATGGCCCTCCTCTGGATATGCTCCAAGAGGTCCACGTCTCACTTGTGCTGAGGGCCCTAGAGATGAACACAGTATGCCAGGTGGGGCCTCACCAGAGCAGAGGGGGAAAATCACCTTCTTTGACCTGATGGTCATGTTTCTTCTGATGCAGCCTAGGATATGGTTGGCTCTCTGGGCTGCAAATGCACATTGCTAGCTCATGTTGAGCTTCTTTTCAGCCAATACCCCCAAGTAATTCTCCACAGGGCCACTCTCAATCTGTTCTCTGCCCAGCCTGTAGCCGTGCTTGGGATCACCCCAACCCATGTGCAGGACCTTGCACTTGGCCTTGTTGAACTTCATGAGGTTTGCACGGGCCCACCTCTCCAGCCTGTCAAGGTCCCTCTGGATGGCCTCCCTTCCCTCCAGCATGTTGACCGCACCACACAGCTTGGTGCTGTCAGCAAACTTGCTGAGGGTGCACTCAATCCCACTGTCCATGTCTAACAAAGATGTTAGACAGTGCTGGTCCCAGTACTGACCCCTGAGGAACACCTCTCATCACCGATCTCCACTTGGACATTGAGCTGTTGACCATGACTGAGTGCAACCATCCAGTCAATTCCTTATTCACCGAGTGGTCCATCCATCAAACCATGTCTCTCCAGTTTAGAGATATGGATGTTGTGTGGGACAGTGTTAAATTCTTCGCACAAGTCCAGGTAGATGATGTCAGTTGCTCTTCCCTTATCCACCAATACTGTAACACCATCATAGAAGGCCACCAAATTTGTCATGCACAATTTGCCCTTAGTGAAGCCACAATGGCTGTCACCAATCACCTCCTTATTTTCCATGTGCCTTCGTGTAGTTTCTAGGAGGATCTGCTCCATTATCTCCCCGGGCACAGAGGTGAGACTGACTGGCCTGTAGTTTCCCAGGTTTTCCTTTTTTCTCTTTTCAAACAGGGGTTACGTTTCCCCTTTTCCAGTTAGCGTGAACTACACTGGACTGCCATGACTTCTCAAATATGATGGATAGTGGCTTAGCAACTTCATTTGCCAGTTCACTCAGGACCCGCATACGCATTCCGTCAGGTCCCATGGACTTGTGCTTCTTCAGGTTCCTTAGTTGGTCTCAAACTGATCTTCTCTTACAGTGGGCGGTTCTTCATTCTGCCAGTCCCTGCCTTTGCCTTCTGCAACTTGGGTGGTGTGGCTGGAGCACTTGCTGGTGAAGATTGAGGCAAAAAAATCCTTGAGTACCTTCAGCTTTCTCCATATCCCAGGTAACCAGGTCTCCTGTTTCTTTCCAGAGAAGGCTCACATTTTCCTTAGCCTTCCTTTTATTACCAATGAAGATCTGGCATCACCATCCTACCTAATATTCTGAGACTATACCATGGTCATACTGTGGTAAGCATAAAACAGTAAAGTAGTCAGTTCCTGTCTTTATGCAAAAACATTAAATTTTGTGGTTAAGTGCTGTGTTAGATTTGAAATAAGCACAGAATCTATTGTCATAATCTCAACATGTTCACGTCCTGCAGTAAACGTCTGCTTTATAAGCATCTCTCTTCTGATTAGAATCTGCCCTGCCAACCCAAGAACATTTTAGTGATTCAAAGAAAGGGAGAGAAGCTCTATCTGTAAAATACTCATTTGATGTCTTTATTTTGACTCGAAAATAGCATCCATTCGTGAAGTCTAGCTCTGGATACAACCCAAAACATACAAAAATAATGGCATATCTGGCTACCTAGACTCTCAACCTGTGCTCTTGGACCTCAGGCCATTACGTCCAAGAAACCTCCACTCATATTTTGAGACTTACACAAGTCCAGGCCAATTGCTTTGAGATGGAACATATGTGAATACATTTGATGGTTGAGGGAAATATGAAAATCCTGTCAGACAGATATAAATTGTGGGCTTTGTACGTTGGAATTTATTTAAATTTGATTTTGAAAATTATTTTTGAAACTCAGGCAACAATAAAAAGTAAAAAGGTGCTCTAAAACTAATACTATTAAATTTCATTCAACTCAAGATCTTGTTTCTTATGTTAAAAGCCTCTTACAAGCATCTACAACCTATGAAATAATTTGGTCTGCATATTTAACTGCTTCTTTTTCTAAAAAGCTTTTTGATGGAATTGTAGAAATTTACAATCGATTTTGCAGAGGGAGAGGTTTAAACAGAAACCCTGAAGCTTCAGTCTGATTTCTTTACATTTTCATGGAAATGGAAGAAGAGCAGAGTTTCTGTTCCAGTTATGCCTAAAGAATTTAATTCTATTCTATCTTCTTATATTTTGTTTTAGAAAAACATAGTGTAAGATGCATTCCACAAAGGCATCAGCTCCTTTTTAGAAGTCAAAAATGCTCATAAGCAATATAATTCTTCCCCTATGCTTCAATTATAACTGCCTATATATACCATAAGATAGTATCTGACCAAAACTTGGACAAGGTGAAAATTCCTATAGAGCAAATGGGAATGATCCAATTTTTTTAAACACAAGGATAACACTTACTTTCCAATCATACTAAACAAATATTCAGCGTTCAATATACAAACTCCACGGACTCAGCTGAGGTACCAAAGCAGATGTTAGGCCCTAAAAGAACTAATTTGGATTAGCAGAAATGCACCCATTTTGTTTCTTAACCATAGGGCAGACACACTAAACTTCCCGTATCTGTCCAGGAGTGCTGTGCAAGAAGGCTATGCAAAATCTCCATTAAGATAGATGTGTAAAAGGTTTGACATAAAAAGGCCTTCTTTCTTCCATTTGACCAGCTTCAAACTGTTGTGTGTCTTAAAGGCAAACAAAAGTTATGAATTACTCTGGTTTTAATTACAAATTTTAAAAAAACCCCTTGCTGCCTTTGTTCAATTGTAATGTAATCAAGCTGCTTTCAGATTTAGAACACAGTAAACAGTGATGCAAAACACCAAAAATTTCAAAGATTTTAAATATAAACATGTCATGATTGGAAGCTGGAAGAATACAATATTACTGCCAAATCATAAAAATTGCGTACTTCTCTCTCATCTATTGCGAATACGTTTTTCATCTTCTTGTTGCTTTAAACAAATGTTGTTTGAATGTGTGCTTTGCTTTTCAATTGAGTCATTTTCCTTAAAGCAGACAGGCAGGTGACAGGCAGTTGGTAGCCCTTACTCTAAAATTCCAATCTAAATCTAAGGTCTTAATTTTAAAACTGCAGATACTTCTTCGAAAAAAACCCAAACACTACAGCCTTGTTCCTTCTGAAGAAAAGAACCCCTAAAGTAACGTTAGCTCTCAAGCTGGATTGGATACCTATTAGAGGTAGATGCAAAGGTCAGAAGTCCTTAAAAGGGAACAGAAATACAGCCTTTGGTTGTGTCTCTTTTCAGTTTCAGTATTCCTCCAGGGTGACTCCAGTGAATGAAAGCAATTCTCAGACCAGCTTAGTTTAGCCTCATTCTCAGACTTAGCTTAGTCCTGTTTCTTTTCCTCTGGCTACCCCACTGCTTTTCAATCCCACCTCCCTAAGTTTCTCTGAATTTTGTGGAGTTTAATTTGCTCAGAAGAAGATCCATAATAAAGATGTGGGTATATACATGGCGTAAATGATGTAAACATACATTAAACACAGATCAAAACTTACTTCTCATTCCAGTCAGTCAAGAAAAAGAAGGATCTTTTAATCAGTATATTTTTGCAAATCTTCACTTGACATATTGTCTTCCCAGCATAAGTCAGTGAACAGGAAAAAGAGAAAACTTTGTAGCTACAAAGGGGGAAAAAAATAAAAATATTAGTTGTAATATACCATGTCCAGCAAAGTAAATTTAGGCTAACTGTTCAGAAACTTTTGAAGATCCTTCCTTACATGCAAAAAGAATTAAAATAATGAATCTTGTATGAAGGGGGGTGGGGTGGGTTATGTGTTTATTTTGCCTTGTTTGTTTTTATTAATGTTCTGAGTTCAAGAAAAGTACTTGACACCTAGATTCTTTTCCATGTTTTTGTCATTAAGACTAATTGTTTTAAATTTATTATTGCAAATTTGGACATAATTTTGGAGTGTTACAACTTGCTCATCATACAACTTCAGTCAATAGTGAACTTATTTATACTTACTTTTCCCAGTCTGCAAAAAGGGGAATCTATACATTCATTACAGCATGTTGGCATTCTTCAGATACTTAACCAACTAGCTTCATAGTGTAATTTGGGTCTGGGGCTATCTGTTGGTTTCATGTTGTTCTCAGCGAAATCTTATAAAACTTTAGTCAAAATAGAGGAATAGCATATAATCAACTAATGCTCTTAATTAGTCTTGTAACTTCCAGATCTTCCTGCCACTCTCAGCTTTAGATGACATTCTGATGAACATAGGGAACAGAGTCAAATCTGAACAGGAAATTTAAAGCGTTTGCAGATTGAAGGTGCCTGGCTTTGCCTTATTTACAAGAATGATGGTTGATCTCTTCCAGAACATTATAATAATTGTTATAATTTTTGTAGCAGATATGCTTTTTCTTTTCCTCTCTCCTTTTTCTTGTGTGGGTTTTTTTTTTTTTTTTTTTTTTTTTTTTTGGGGGGGCTGTTTTTGTTTGTTTGTTTTGTTTGTTTTTAAATTCAAAGAAAAGGACATGGAATCTCTAGTACCTATGAGGTACATCAACTTAGAGAAAGGAAAAAAATACCTTATAAGACTAGGAAAAGGTTCTATTCTTAAATATGGCATCTTTCCTCTAGAGTCTAAACATTAGAAACAGTTGAAAGATAGTGCAGGAAATAATAGCTTTTAATACAATTAAATGATCAAGCATTCCTGTTTAAACAGAGGTATTGATACACAATATACAGGCATATTCCTGATTTATATACCACAAGGACCTAATCCTGGAAAGATTAATGCTTACACAATGCTTCAGTCTGACTGAAGTCAGAAAGATTGTTCAGAGTGCAATGCACTTCAACCCATTTTATGTCTTTGCAGAGCATTTTGCCTAGGTAGCCTCCCTGTGAGTTCAAAGGCATGACCGTACAGCCTTGTCCCAAAGATCACTTCAAATCATCCAGATGTAGACAGGAATCTGACCGGTTTGGGCTGTAGAAACAATGTAGCCAAACATGAAGCTAGCAACATTATGCCACTAGCAGCAAATAAGGCACATCTGCTCAGGATTTAGAGACAGAACAACAGACTGATAAAAGAAACAAGGAGGAATGAAAATACCGTAAAGAAAGCAAGGTCATCAGTTTTGCAACATTATTCTGCAACATTGCAATGTCTGTACCTATTTTTTTTTTAATAAGGATAGTAAGATAGGAATAAGAAATTGAGAGCATAAATACAAAAATTGACAAAAAGCCAATCCACAAAAGTGAACTCGAGACGGATTTGACAGAACACTAACATGATTCTGTAAAACATAAGACAACCCACTCTCCCTTATCCCCAATGATTAAAAGAAAAGCTATTTATCAGGTAGTGATACGTACAGAAAAAAAAACAATGTAAGACAGACAGTAAGGGATGTCAAATTCTAACATTATAATACATTCATTGTACATAGAATAGTTTAGGTTGGAAGGGACCTTTAAAGGTCATCTAGTCCAACCCCCCCTGCAGTAAGCAGGAACATCTTTAGCTGGATCAGGTTGCTCAGAGCCCTGTCCAACTTGACCTTGCATGTTTCCTGGGATGTGCCTTCTATCACCTCTCTGGGCAGCCTGTTCCAGTGTTTTACCACCCCCATTGTAAAAAATCTCTTCCTTATATCGTCAGCAAAATCATAAAATATGACGTTTGGGAAAGGGAAAACATGAGCCATGACGTAGCCAACATGAATTCATGCAGTGCAGAAATAAGAACAGGGAGTACGCATGTGAATGAAGCTAGTACAAGTATTTCAGAAAAGTGGCAGTTCATGTTAAGAAGTCCATGCTAGCTATGGATATTGGAAAGACTGGAAAGGTAGATTAAGGAGGAAGAGAGAGTCTCATTTTCACATGCTTGTACATAGCATTCAAGTCATCAGTGGCCTTTAGGCCATATGAAATTTCACATTTTTCTAGTAAGACATAAAACGCAGTGGGAACAGTATAACCATCAGAAAATCAGGATAGTGATTATAGTTCTGTATTTATTACCTTAACTAATGCAAATTCTCCTAGATGTTTATTAAACTGCTAATTACAGCTGATGATGTATAGTACACTCTCTTGCTCACAGCAAATGATCCCACTGTTTTTTAATCATTCATTTGGAATTCAAGGTAAAGTAGGAGCAAGGGGAAAGTGTTAATACAAACTTGAAGAACAGTATTTTGACTTGCAAAAATAATGCTACCAGACTGTAGTCACTTGTCCTGCTTTGATCAGACTGGGGTGGTAAGGGGAGAACACGAGTTCTGCCCACAGTAGGAAAAGCAGCTATCTGAAAAGGCAACTAATTTGACCAAAGAAACAATGCAGAAGAGAATACTTCAATCAGCTTTTTATTAAAGTTATCTCCCTCTTCTCTTTCCTGTGCTATGCTGATATACTAGGTATACTTGGACCTACAAACTATAGTTCTTTTAATCACCATCCTTAAAGAAGATTGTCAGTGCACATGCTTAGCCAAGTAACGTGGTTTGAAAACACCAAGGGCAAAAATTGCTGATAAAGCCCTCATTCATATTTGGTTTAAGTAAAAGCATCCCCTTGTTTAACTTGGTAAGCTGACCTTCAACACTTCCAGTTACTTGTACTGCAGAGACCACTCCAAACTCACTCAGCGTGCACACACCCTTTCCTCCCTTCTGCTGAGCAAGTCGGTCACAGAAGCATTTGTACACATACCCATCAAGGCCAGTGCTCTGATGTTGCCTATATTTCTATACTTCCACGCTGGTCAAGGGCAACCATCTAGGCCACCTCCTTGATTCTCCATCTATTCATGGGACCTGGAAGTCTCCAAGACAGTCAAGCTTAAGTAAACGCACTTCATGCTAGAAAAACTGTGGAGCCACATCCACTTACTCAGTCTCCAACATTAATGTAAGAATATCACCAAAGCAACAGAGGTAAACTAGTACGTATGAAAAACATGTGATCTAAGAGACAACACCTCTTCTTGTGAACACCTGCTGAATCTCCTCCTACCTGTTCACCCAGGCTTCTGGGATGTTATGGGCAGCATAAACAGTGAAGCTGAGCTGGGAGTCTAGGCTGATGTCTGTACATGAAGGGCTTTTAGGTATGCTGGCAAGCTGGAAATTTGCATCAAAGCTGCTGCTGTAAACATGGATGAGACAAGAGATGGCCATGGACAGCTCAGTCACAGCAGCCTCTATTAATGCTGAGAGGAGAGAAAGAAATAAATAAAGGTTAGCAATAGGTCATTTATGAAAAACCATATTTACCTTAAACCATCAGTTACAGCTTTGAAATGCTTCCTAATAAAATTTAATTAAAATGACATAACCTACCAACTGAAGCCAATTAGCCATCTGTGCTTCTGAAACCAGCCTTAGCTCATTTCTCGTGTATCATTAACAGTCTTTCATTACAGTGCTTTCAAATTAAGGCATTTTCAAAGTAAGCATTTTAAACTCAGCAAGTTAGTGTGTGCCTTAGATATGCCGTTTCAGCCTGTTAATTTTTGTGCTGGAAGGATTTTTATTATGTAGGTATTTTGTAATTTCAGCAGCTAAGTAGCTACTTAGTTCAAGGGAACTGGCAATGCAGCAGTAGAATAGAGAAAAGGCACTAGTTAAATTTTAAGACTATAAAGCTGTTACAACTGTAAGTAAACAACTCATAAAATATACACAATAGCAGCCACAAACAGACATAGTCAGGAGATGGTCATGGATTGGTGATAACATTACACAACAATGGACACTGAAATATTTATCTATTGGGATATATATGAAATGCAGGCCGTACCCTCATTTATATCACACCTTTACGTTATTTCTTCTGGCTTTAGCTCTGTAGTGCTCTTTTTCTGCAATTATTGGCTTTTATCCATTTTCCCCCTCTCTGTGTTTTTGGAGCAGGTAGGGATTGCCTGATTGCCTGTGTACATTAAAATCCCCAGTCCTGGCAGTTAAGAGAGCTGCTACAAACACTTACTTCTCAGGTAAGGGACAGGTTGAGAGAAACTGTCAGAGTACATTGTATCATTCCAAGATCTGGATCATTTGTCTTCCAAGTGGAGTACTCCAAATTCTCCTTTTTTCTCCCCTCTACCTCATGGGTTCCTACATGATCAAGAATATATGCTCATCACCTGTCAAAGTCCCTGATAAACTCCCTGAACTTGTCTGACCACTGTATTTAGCAGCCATTTATTAGCCGTCTAATAGTGTCTATAGAAAAAAAAAAAAAATTCCAGGAATACCAAGCCTGAGACTTGCTTATATCGGGTTTTTGTGCTTGGAATAGGTGCAGGAATCCTGCCCAACATCAGATACAGATACCACAATTCACTGGACTTCAATATCTTAGTTTCCTGACAGAAATGTCTTCAAAAAAACATATCCTTGGTCTGGAATTTTATTCCACTTCTTTGATACCTTTTTCCTTTAAACTAGTAAATACTCAGAACTACCAAGTCACAAAATGCATTGTGAACAGTGCAAAGGAATTATTTCTGTCTTCATTTTGTAACAGACAAATATTAACCATATAACAATAGAGATATACATAAAATCGAAATAGTGTGACATATAGTGAAGTTTAATACTGGAAATAGTAAATTATTGCACTCATGAAGGACTGGCTACACCTTGTCATGTTGTAATTATCTTCCACATATGAAATTGAATTATTTTAAAGACTAACAGGTTAAAAAAACTCAGTCCCTTTATTCTCTGTGTATACTTCCCTGTCTAGCACTTATTTTTAATTATCTTTTTATTTATTCTCTCTACAACTTTCTCCATTTATCATCCTTCATCATAATTGTTCTGAATAAATCTTTTGCTCTAATGATTTTTTTTCCCTCAAATGCCATTTTATTCTCATACTCAGTTCTCTTGGATGTGTAATAACTTAGTTCCTTTTAAAATAAATGTTTAATTTGCACTGAATTCTTTTACATGCAAAGGAACTACCTATAGTCATGTACATAAAGATTTCTTTAGAGGTCCAGAAGAGGACATCAGTGGACAATTATTTGAACTAGTATTTTCTACTTTATCTGAAAAGCACCACACCATTTACATTAAGGAAAACCAGCTATTTAGAAGACTCCCTGGCTCCAGTCTGTTCAAAGTGGCAGACCGGCAGATGTAGTGTAATAGCAAACCCCTTATTTATGCAGATTGGCCTATTGAAGTCTGTGATTGCTGAGTGGAACCTTCTCATCATTTTCCCCAAAAAAGGGTGAAATGTAGTTGAGAATCTGTGTAAATGTCCTGCTGTGTTTTGAAACATACCCCTTGGCCACCAGCACTTTTTACACAATCTGTACTCTAGGATGTAGGGCAATGTTTCAAATTTTGTCTCGAGAACAAGAGGAAATGTATCATATTTCAGCTAAGCCATAGAAAGAAGGGAATACTCCTCAGGGGGAAAAAAAAAAAAAACATGAGAAACATATACAATAGGATAACTATTTTCCATAACAGAAAATGTACACATGCCAGGCAAGGAAGTGAATAAAATGCAAGGTGCTATCACTACATCCAAGCTATCCAAGCTATCTTGTCCACTAGCCATGTTTGCAGAAGAATGAGTGTCATGATTTACCCAAGTCACAAAACTGAATGCCAGATATGTAAAAACCAGATATGTAAAAACCAGAAAAACAAACAAAAAGAAACGCATCAAAATTGAGAGGAAAAAAGAAAACACACATTTTTTTGCCTCAGTTATTTATAACATGCTTCAATCTGTTGGTGCTGGGGTAAAAAAGTTTCCTGCGTGTCAGGTACCTGCCCCCCCTACAAGATGTATGTGGCTAAATGGAGCAAGATTAAAAGTCTTCACTTAGTTGAAGACAATATCCATGAGACTCCCTGCTGACAGGAGCTGGGAAATGTTCTTTTGCCTCTCTTTCTTAAATTTCCACTTTTCACCTGTGGGCTTGAAGAGTCTGTGCCTGACTGCAGAAATGGAGCTAGTTTGGAAGCAGGGCCTGGGTGGATGGAATACAGCCTGTCTCTCTTGCTACGATGGCATGTGAGGGGTGAAGACAGCAAAGGAGCAACTAGTTCAGCTGTCAGCAAAGGGAGACAAAAGAAACTTCAGCACTATTTATCTAATTATGAGGATATCCAGAATGAAGATCTCAGGAACAGGGTTCTTCAGGTGTAAGCAAATGTCCAAGTACAACCTGATCTGCAGCTGCAGGACTTTTTCTACGTTCACTTTCTTACTCTCATCAGCTCTCAGTTTAAAATCACTCTATGGTTTCTGTGCCAGAGTCAGCCCTTTTTTCCCTCAACTTTTCACTCATTAAGCCCTGTAGCAATTAACTAGAGACAAACATCTTGAGTAGTCTGCAAACGTCCATTACTCACAAGAGTTTGTCAGCATCTTTTCACTGTATTTTTATGAGTTGCTGAATAGGATTTGGTACGCAGAAATTATATCACCCATTCATGAAGCCAGAGAACTCTACAGCTTTTTATGACTTTTATGATTAATAAATCTTAGATAAGAAAGGACTATGGTGTTTCACTGATTTACATAGCACAGGCTATGAACTTCCTACAGCAGATTCACAGCTTCAGCTATGCCAGAGTTTATTTCCTAGAAAGGTGTCCCAGGCATAGCCAGCATCTAGGAGACGATGAATACACCCCATCACAAAGTGAATTGTGACCAAGATTAATAATCCCACAATTCAAACCTCATAATTTATTTCTGGTGTGAAATTATTTGGCATCACCTCCTCACTGAAGGTGAGAAGAAATCAGACCTGCAGAAATTAGATGAGACCAAGGGAAGTGAACTGTAACAACAGCTGCCAGACATGCTTATTTCTGACACACGTTCCTTGTACACGAAGTCTGAAATTTCACCCTTAGTTAGAAACAGAACAATCCACACCATCCCTGAAAGTGTTAATGAATATACCTGCAGGTGCCTTCAAGGTTTAGTAAGGAACATATCAGCTTATTCCTTATAGAAAACCACTTTCTTCTTCTAAGTCCAGTATTACAATTCACGTATTATTTTAGTGCCAGACCTTCCAACAGAGTAGTTACTTTGCTGGTATTCCACTAGCAGATGATATCAATTCAATATATATTAAACGCGCCCTCTCCAACTCTGTATGTGTATTTTCTCTGGGTAAAAGGTGACAAACATCTGGTTGAACAGAATTTGGAATGAAGGCTTAAGACTCTTTCGACACCTTAAAGATATTTTGGAGAACAGGAGCTTGATATTGTTCTTTCCCACTTATTTTCAGAGAGAAGAAAAAGAGCAAGATCCTAAATACAGTTTAGATTGTACACACATACACACACACAAACACCAGAAAAAAAACCCTTAAGATTTAGGTAAGGTACTAAGCAGCAATAATTAGACCATTACTATAATAAGAAAAAGGCAAAACATGAAATCTGTAATGCAAATACTGATCAGATGCAGTTTCCAAGCACAAATATTTAGCTTATTGTTTCCTGCTACTAGTTGAAGAATCCTATGAATTATCCATTGAAAGAAAAATCTCCTGCTCTCCTTGTCACTGTTACTATATGCTTTATAAGGCCTTGGTAACTTGTGTCTAATTTTTTTTGGAGAATACTCCTCAGGGGGTTATTTAAAAATTGGTGGTTGCAGTTATTTAAAAATTGGTCTTGGTTAAAAAAAACCCTGGCATTCAGAATAATATATCAGGATGTAACACAGCAACAACTTAGAGGTAAAGAGCCATGCTCAGGTTTGAAAACAATGCAGGAGATACTTACAGAGATGAAATGCAATCAATAAAAAGCTCTTGATGTTTTTCCATATTCTAAAACAGAAAGTGATTTTTCCAAACCAAAACTATAATGGCTTTGTGCTAGGAAAAGAAGGAATTGGAGTTTTCCATTTTACATAAAAAAACCTTCAAAACCTCTTCCATTTTTATCCCTTCCTCCTCCCTGTCAAATCCCAAACACAATGTGAACCTTTACACACTTAAATGTAATGTTGATTTTATTAAATGTATCGTCACCAAGGTATGTGATTTCTACATTCACTTGAAAAGATAGCAACTCCAGCTATCTTTTCCACTTGGAAAAAACTGTTGATTCAGTATCATCAGTTCATGGTGCATACCAGACTTTCTGGGATGGGTCCCACAAAACTACTGATCAAATTCTAAAAGCTGCTTATTATGTCTGATCCAGTGAAATCCCCGCCTGAAGTAGAAAGGCTGTAGACACTGTATAAACATTCATTCATCAGCTTTTGAGAAACACGCAGAGACTCAGTTTTATACCAGCTTTCAGCCTGCCTTTTCACACCCTGGATTGCAGCAAACCCCAATGCTAAATCTCTGTTAACATGAATAATCTTATTTTTTATTTTCTACAAACACTTGATGCTGTAGAAAGGTGCTAATATGTAGAAATGCCTATTGTTCCTCACATTTAAGAAGAAATAAAAAAATACTTTGAGTACTAAAACATTAATATAATCTACTTGGGACATCATACAGAGGAAAAAGAACCCGATCCAGATTTAGGCATAACATGGATTAGTACTGCTCCATTCACAGCAGTGGAATAATTTTGTCCACAGAGGTAACACTGTTAATAGAGCCAGTTATTGCTCACTCAACACTAAATCAAGGCTAAATATTTTGAATATAGTCTTTGACTTGCTTAGTCCATGGTAAATGACTAATATTAAACCTCTGATAATCTTTTATTAAAGACGAAGATTAAAGCCATTTCTAAACAAATTATTAAGTAAGGCTTTAATTTTAATAGTATCCTTTATCTTTTTCTCTTTTGTGGTTGCGAGAAGCTATAATGAACTAAACCAAAACTCTTATGTGATACTCAGGGTAACAACTATCGCTTGGGGGAGAAAGAGAGAGGAAAAGGAAGTATTAGTCGTATTGCTGCTCTTGCTGTTCAAATTTGATCCCATTTTCTTCAAGATAAACATGAATATATATCAGAGACAGAAAAGAACAGTACATATGGGAAATGCAGCCTATCTCCTACTCAGCTATCAATGCTGACTTCATTTGCAATTGTGCTGCTAGAGAAAGCAAAGTGCATGGTTTTTAGTTTCCCAGAGATCTGAAAAAATTTACCAGCATCAAGCTAAGACAGTGATTTTACATTACTTTTGAGTCACAGGCTTGCAAATTTTTGCATGCCTGCAAATCTAGCCCCCCAAGCATAATGAAGTAAAAAGATGGTGGGAAGTAAACGAGGCAGAAAAAGAAACACAAAGATGACTTTTTTATGCACAACTCGCCACCTAGTTGGTTTTTACTTGTAGCTTCAGCAGGTGAAGATGTCCTCTGGATTCCTCTCAGACTGTGTCCCTAGGTCAACAGATGGGAGGCCCCATAGCATTATCATGAAGGTGAGCACTGAGAAGACAGGGACTAAGGAAAGCTTGTGATCCCCAAAAGGAAGGATGTGTAGAACGGCTTTGCCCACATCTTGGGGATGAGGCCCAGGTTCCAGCAGATCAGTTTTGGTCATTGCTCTCACACTTTGTTTTTATCAGATGTGCCCTTAACACCAGCTTTGGTACAAAAGCCAGACTTTTCTGTTAACACTCATTAGACTAACTTTGAATATTTTGCTGGCTTTTAGAAGTGTATTTAATAGCTGCAGATGTAAGGCATGTAGTACATTAAAACGTACATGAAATGTGTATCACCGCATGGAAGGGTTCAAATTGAATTTTGGTTACCTTGGACAACTTTGAACGTAGGCTTCTCCACAGAATGACTAACAGCCTGGCAAGTTCTGACTTGCAATTGGTAAGTTGCAGCTTCTAATATCAGACTATCAGAAGGATTCTGCAAGTGTTATGATATTAGGCTGTGCTGAGAACAATCAGAGAAGCATCATTCTTCACAGCTGAAGGTTTCCTGGCATAAATAAACAGGTACATAGAAGTAGAGAGTAAAAAATCTGATTCCTTTACTGTTATTCGATAAATCAGATTTTCCTCAAGGAAGCTGCTGATTCAATGAAGTCCAAATTTGGAAATATCTTTACATAGAGGAATGTTTTACACCCTTTCCAGCCAGGTTTTCTGAACAGTGTGCAGAGGAAGGTGTTTGTAAGGTAGGTGTTGATTAGTAGCAATTCTTTTCATTATCAACAATTAGTCGCTGTTAAGTGTTAAAAAAAAAATTTGTGGGATAAATCACTATATCCAAGGGAGAAGAATCCTACAAACTGTATTTACCTTCTCCCCTCTTCTGCATCTGCATGTTCTCCCCCCACTTCCCTGGCCCTCCAGCTGCTTAGCTTTTCCTGGCAGTGTACAAATATAATTGCTGTTTCTTTGTTTGCTGTTCATGAAGTTGAATAATGGTGAAACAACAAGCCCGGTATTTGGAATCCTGCATTTGAACCACCTCTGTGTTTGAAAGGCTGCTGCAATCTTTGTGGCTGGTTCACCTTTTTGTCTCCCTGAGCACACTGCAATTGAGAAATGCAGAGAAAAAAAAAAAAAGAAAGAGGGCAAAAAAGCAACTCAGAGGCCACTTTTTTCCTCCAAAAAAATGGAGAGAGACCACTGTTCCACAGCCCACCCAGTCTTCACACAGAGGGCCCTTTGAAAGCATCCCCATAGCACTCCCAGCTGCTTGTCACAGGCCAGTAACAGAGGAGTTGAGCAGGACCCATGCCCTGATGTGGCTGTACCCTCCAGGAACCCAACACAGACACCCACGACAGAATGGACTTGTGCACATCCCTCAGTGTGCGAGGTGCTCTGCAGTAAAGCTAACAGTACTAGGCATTGGCCAATGAGTCTAAGCTAATTTTAACTGAGGAATTAAATAAGGCAGGGTCTATGATTTTATCCATTACTGTTAATTAACCTACTTTTCCTGTGACAACATACCATTTAAGACAACACACTATTTACACAACAAAAGAGAGCAAAGAACTAAAGCTTAAGGAGGGAGGAATGAAAGTTATTAGAGTTGAGTAGACAAGCCATACACAAAAAATAATTTTTTAGGCTTTCATGAAGTTCCTTATTTCCCCTTTTCTCCAAAGAAAAAGCTGGGATTAAGGAGAACTGCTATGACCACCACTAACTGTAATCAGTTCTTTCACTCTACTATTCATTCTCCACATTTGAATCTCCAGAGTAGCTTTGGGAAATGCTATGTTTTATTTACATTTTTAGATCGATTAAATTTTAACTTGTCATAATTACCTTATAATACGACAAAATATGTAAACATCTGCAATATGCCAACTATAACAGTACACTAATACATACAAATAGCAAAATGTGTGTTTTCTGATGATACATCTTGAATTAACATATTTTCAAAATAAGACTTTACCTTTGTCTGGTGTTTCTACACTTTGAAGTGAATTCTACAAAGACAAAACCAGAGGGAAAAAGTAATCAGTTACTTCAGAAAAGACCAGATAGCAATTATAATGGTTTTAGGAGCAGTATTCATGGAAAATAAGGTGAGAAAGGGGAAGGATGCATCCTAATGTTATGATGACAGAGGACATGACTGGGATTCAGAGTACCAGTTTTCTCCAGCTCTTTCACCTGCTTCCTCTACCATCTCAGACAAGTCACTCTGGACTTGATTTCTGACAGTATTTAGACATGTCAAAATATAAAGAAGCACATACCAACATTTGAGGTGCACGCACATTTTCAGCCTCTACATTGGTATAACAGAGATAAGAATACTCTCTCCATCCCTTTGTATGCCTTACATATTCGGATGTGAATCCCACAACCATGCTGAGCAGGAGAGCCTCAACATTCTCTCAAAGCTGAGGAGCACCAAGTCTCCACTCAAGTGGTCTACATTTCACCTATACTCCTGTGCCGAAACAGCAAAAATAGCTATGCACTTCAAAGGCCTTTGAGCAGACAGGTAACTAGAGACTAACATGAAATATTAGGTGCAGGGATTTAGGGGTTGTTTATGCCTTTGGTGCCTAAACACAGCTCTTGATGCCTGCCTCTCATATCCCACTGCTGTCAGCTTAGCAGGAACTGCTGGGTGCTTCTGACCGCTGAAAGGTTAGACCAGTTATTTACACTGAACTGACCAGCCTAATTAAACTTTTTTTCTTTTTGTTTCCTTTCCTTTTTCCTTTTTTTTTTTTTTTTTTAAATGCTGCCCTATTAAATACCCAAGTACAATAACTGCCATCAATCAGACCTCACTCCATGCTTCTCAGACACTGGGCAGAATTAAATGTTGGTACACTGCCTGTGCTGCCCCATCCATGCAGGAAAAACCATCATGGCAGGTAGCTCGGCATGTCTCCCGTCAGGATGGGTGGCACCCACAATCCCAGAGCTGTAGGTGGGACCCAGCCTCAGCTCAAAGACAAGTGTGGGTGACCAGCTTCCCCTGACAGCTGCTCAGTCTGCCCTGTCTTCACCTGGCTCTGACATCAGACTCGCATGTACCAAGTGACACAGAAATAAGTTACTGAGGTGCAAATCTGGACCAGAGAGAACTGGCAAGTTAATTCTCTGTTTCAGTGTTGCCCGTGCCTTGCACTGTTTGAACCCATGTCCCTGAAAGGTTTACTATCTTTTACAGTCACAAATCCCTTTGCAACAGGTTGAGAATGCTTCATGTTAGTACATGCGTATTCAGCAAAATGCTTCTTAAAAATTACAATGCATGCAGAGGTGACATAAGAAATACAATGCTGGATGTACATTCTCCCTCTGGTACCCAGCTTGGAGCTGCCAGCATTTGTCTGGTAAATATGAAGATAAGTCAAATGCTTACTTGAGGGGAGAAAAGCAACCTCCAAGCTGAGAAACATGTTTTCACAATATTTATAATGCAGAGAGACAAATGGGAAGAGAGACCTTTGTTCAATTCTCTCAAATTTTGGAAAGTAAACAACCTTTTGGAACAGTGCTTGTAATTTCAACATAGTGTAGCCCATTTAATATATAGTGGATTACTGCCTGTTCTGGCAGGATTTCATCTCCTAGGAATTTTTGTGAGCTGCTGTAAAAAAGGAAGGGAAAAAAAAAGAAAGAAAGAAAAAAAAAAAAAAGAGATGAAAAACATTAATTGTGCAGCAGGCCCAGAGTTTCCCCTGAACAAATTTTAAAATCCCAGGGTTAGGTTGGTTAGAGACTGAATGAATCACATTTATAAAGAGACACAATCAGTTAAGAAGAAACTATCACTGGTGCCAGTTGCTTTCATAATCTCTTAACCACGGTACAGGAATGCAGAGTACTGGCAGTGAGAAGGCAATAAGGAGGTAATAAATACAGTTTAATTAAACACAGAAGATCAGAAGTAAGTTTCTTTGTTTTTCTTTTTATTTTTTTTTTCATAAAATCAAAATTAAATAGAAGCACACCGAGATTTTTTTTTCCTTAAAGTATGCAAGCACACATGTACAGTTACGTATACACAAACATACACTGGTACTCTACATAATTTACATTGGAAGGAGTAAGCAGTAGTTTCCTGAGGCATTATGTGCACATGGAGCTTGCCAAATGGATGCATTAAAAGGTATTCCACACCATACATTACACTAAAGTGTCAGGAAACTGTGGTGAACAAGCAATTAGAACTTTTTCTGGCATTTCTCCCTTAACTAAGGGGAAATTAACTAATGCAGCACTTTAGGTGTAACAGGTAGCTTCGAAAATGTCACTTTACTTCTGGTGCAAGTTACCTTCATGTCTGAAAAAAGCCTCTCTTCTACCTAACAAAAATTCTTGGGGATACTGTGCTGATGAACATAACATAAACAATTCAAGTAGACTGACAAGACACACAAATATTGCATGATTTAATAATTTTTTCAGTATCCAGAATTCAGATAAAATACCCCTACACTTCAGTATGAGTTTAACTCAAAAAAGGTTTGGAGGAGTTGGTACTCCATCAAACATCAAGCCACTGAATGCTTATTTTGGCTACATATGTTGATAGAGACAGGAGAGCTGATCCATTGTCTTTGTATAAATATTGACAAATATATATAAATATAACAAATCAGATTTTATCTAAAGATTTTATACATGAGGTAGTTAAATATAATGTGCAACCTCTACTTTCATAAAATGGAACAGTGTTCAAGTTATAGAACATGTAGAAATATATTTTACTGCTTTTATGACATAGTTCAGTTGCTGTTGAGAAAGATGAAACTCTTTATAAAATCAAAACTGAACTTTTTTCTAGATTACTGAAGTCTGATCGACTGTCCTAACACTTATTTCTCAAAGGAGTAAAAAGCAAGCAGCAGAAACGGCGCTTGCTGGTGCAGGAACATTTTTTTTTTTCTCCTGCATTTGTTTGAAGTCAGTTGTTAGTGAGGTCTGCTTCACCAAGGAGGGAGTAAGGGGGAGAGAGGTGTCAGTCAAGGTCATAGACAGACTTTACAGGAAGGCTTCAAGGGACAGACAACCCAGTTCAGCTAACCAAGCGTGAAAGGGAATGTTAAGGGAATAAAACCTCAATAACTTAAAATCTTTTAAAAATTAGTAACAATCTAGTCAGTAGTCTCCAAGAGAAATGTGGAGCGGTTTCTTATGTGAATATTAGGACAGAAAAAATATTTTAAGACTAGAGATAAAATGTTTAATCAGGACAGAATCTTTTTAACATTCAGAAGAGGGTATTCAGGAACAGTATCGTTTCACTCATTACAGATGAGCAAACGCCATCATAATCATCACCACCACCACTTATCATTTTTAGCCTCTGGAGATTACAGCCAGGACCAGCACTCTATTGTGCTGGAGACTCTACATACAGATAAGGAGAGGCATTCCTTGCTCTGAAGAGCTTATAATCTAAATAGGTAAAACAGAAAAAGGAAAGTGTATTACTCCCTCTGTGTGAGGAAGTATATGGAAGTTGGTTCAGTAGAACCTGTATATATTGGAGACTGTCTATTCAGTGGAGTTGGAAATCAAACACATGCTGGAGAATGAGCAATGGCAAGCTGGGAACACTTGGAGCAGGCTTTTTTGTTTGTTTTTTTTTTGTTTGGGTTGGTTTTGTTCATCTGTTTGTTTTTACAACAGGATAAATCAGGTCATAATCCAATTATTTGCATAGTAACAATCACTTAACCTCTAAAATAAAACCAGTATTTGCACGACAGTGACTCGGAACAGAAGCAGAAGCAAATGTGAACATCCACAGAAACCTTAGACTTGAAAAAGATGACCTGTACTTTTTGGCTTTTATCCCATTATCTTATTCTTCATGGCATGACATGTGGGATTTTCTGATTGCTCAGGACAGGCCACACTAATAGAAACTGATTTGGCTCTTTGACCACTATATGTATCTCTCTGCTGGAATTCAGAGAGGATGGGGCTGAAAACGGACTCAGGGACACTCAGTAAATATAAGCCAGTCATAGGAGGCAGTTTACACATGGGGTTCACAGAGCTGACCTGAACACTCAAAAAGAAAGTACACTAAATTTTTCTTAACTCCAAAAGAAATCTTTTGACAAATTAGTCCCAATACATTTCTTCTGGTCTAATTCCTTCCTAAAGGAGAATATGTTCTGTTACTGTCCTCTTATCTTTTTACTGGACCAAGCTCTTTATCTGTCTCTTAAGAAAGATTCTAGGTTGACAAAATATTTTTCTCAAGGGGAAGATGCTGATCTGCCTGACACCTATCAGGACAGCCTGGGGTTTAACTGAAAAGCAGATCATGTGAATCCCTTGTTACTTCTTTTCTCTCTTTCTCTACTGTACTTGCCTTCTAATATACAGGAAGAACTTTTCTGAAATGGAGATACTCTTGTTTCCATTTAAATCAACAACATGCCAGACAAAATGTGTGCTGTCACAGACTCTATGCTGGAAACTACACAGAATAGTGACTTTTATAGAAAAAAAGATTTTATAGTGAGTCATGACTTAGAAGGGAAGCAAGAGAAAGCACTTAAGTGAATCAGCTGGTCAGCTTTGTGCAACAACGAAAATACCTAGAGCTATGTTGTTTCTTGAAGCTTTGTCCTTAACAATACTTGCCACCCTTCAGAGACACAGCACCCGTATAACTAACTTCAGTAGGCCACAGCTGGTTCTGCCCGGGGCCATGCAGCAATGTGTGCTCTGTGATCTCTACTGTCCTCTTTCCAGAAACATGGTTCAGGGATTTATTTGCAACCCAGACCTGCAGAGAGCTACATTGATGCTCTAGAGTTTACTTGCTTAGGTCCTGTACTTTATCTAAGTTGGAAGCTATTCCCTCCATGCACCTAAGAGGGATAAACAGAGGCTAAGAATGCAGAGATTTAAGAGAAGAGGTTTTCTGAGCATGACTGGAGCCTCTTTAACTAACATACTTTCTGCTCTTTGGTGAGTCTCTTCATCTCTCAGGAAGAAGTTTGCCCCTGTAAGATAATGTGTGTTTGAGGGTTTGAACCTGTCAGAGTAAATACATATGGATGACAGTATAGAATTAACTTTTTCTATATCTATTCTGTGACACAAGAAATGTTACAAAAAGAATTACAGTAGCTTTCCCCAGTCTTATGTTTGGGACCTCAAGCTGCATATCAAGCATAATTAAATAAATTCCACTTAGGTGGTTAGACATGTTTCTAATGAACACTCCCTAGTTAACTCACTTAACACTGGTTATCTCATTGTTTATTTTCCAGTCCTAAGTATTCTTACATATCTCACAAGCCATGGGCAAAAAAAAAAAACAAAAACAAAAAAACCCCAAACCAAACAATAAAAAGAAAGAATAAAAATTCTGTAAGCAGGTAACAGTCTGAGAATGCAAGCCTCTTGCCCAGTTTGGCATGCTTTTATAAACAATATTTGCTGTGAGAAAGAATGACAAGATAGAGACCATATAAAGAAAGAAAAAAAATTCCTTTGTAACTTATTAAACTTTTTAAATAAGCATGAAGAGGGAATTTCATTAGGGTGGGAAAGACCTAGCATGACTTGAGGTTACACCAGGCGAAATCCAAACAGCTTGATTTGCAAATTTGCTGAGCACCCGTATTTCCAAGATGCTGACTTCAAAAGAATGTTTGGGTGCTCAGAACTTCTGTAAATCAGGTCATAGTGACTTGTCCAAGGTCATACTAAAGCGACTGATGACAAAACTGAGAACATATACTGCCCTCCAAAGTCCCACTTCACAAATAACCCCTGGAAAACCCACGTCAGTGTTTTAAGAGTGAGTATTCCAGCTAAAATAGGGTCTGTATGATGCTGGTCCTTCTCTACATAAACAGCAGAGACATTTCTATCTGAAAAACTCATAATTTAACTGACATTTACAGAAGGAATTATTTTTTTCATTATTGTTAACAATCTATGCTAAATATATGAAAACTGAGTACTTTGAAATTGCATGATTAGCTAAATAGATGATGTGGCAAAGCAGAGATTTGTATGTTTGGTGGGAATAAGAAAGAAGAACCAGAGGAGCATATCAGTTACAATTAAACACAGAACAAGTCCTCTGTTGCTCCTGTCACACATTGTCAACAATCTTTTCTTTTTTTACAGTGTCTCTACCTAACACATGTCAGAGGGAAAATATGTGGTAAGACCGTAGAATGGCCTTGATCAGTCTTAAAATTAGGGATTCCCATTCAAGCTCCAGTTTTAAAGAGAAAATTAAAGGCATCAACTCGCATCTTTTACCTGTGCGTTCACCAATGGCACTGCACGGAGTTTCTTGACTGCATCAGTAATGTCCCTGGTTTCCACAAAACAGAGGACACTGCAGATTGCTTTAGCTGCTTCAATCACATTATCAACTGTATGCTGTTGACAGCAAAGAAAGGGGTGAAAAAAAGCAAACAGTAGACACATACCATTTATCAGAAATGCCTTAACATAAACTTCATGTTAGTATGTAGAAAATCATATCCACTCATGCAAAACTGAAACATACCATGCATTATTCTGCCTACACTGAAATTGCTAGTGACCAATAGTTTCCTAAAGACAGAATAATTTTTGTTCAACTGTTAGTCCAACTATCTTCCACAAAACGTGTCTTGAAAACTGCTGCAAAGTTGGTATCTAAATCTGATTTTGAGGCAAAATATTGGTTTGTCTGAACTTCATGAGCATAGAAGTACTGTAAAGAAACTTCTGAGGAAACCTGAACCCAAATGATTCACAAACTTTCTGAGGTTTTTATGATACTGTGAAGTTATCCCCAGTATTGTCTCCTACCCATCTCTGTGAGAGCTGGCAGACAACCATGTTCCTCCTAAAAATAGTGACTGTGTGGGAGGCTACATAATCTGACACCTGTGGACCAAGTACTTCTGCAACTAGCTTTTCTGCAACAGATATATATAGTTCAAATCATTAAATCTTATTGATAATAAATTTAGAGCTTTAAATATTACTATATGAAAAAAATCTCTGGATGAATAATCTCAGAAATACTGTGAGGAACTCAAGAAAAAAATATTTGGATCCCAAAGGACGGAAAATGCAATCTTCAAATACCAAGTACACTATGTTCAGGAAAATAAATAAATAAAATTCATGGGTTTCCTGCATAGTTATATCACTTCATTAAACCTTAAAATACATTCTCTGAATAAGTAAAAGCTCTCCTATAAATATTTTCCATGTTTCTGTACTGATAAATGTTCCTTTTAGTGTGCTACAGCATGTCCATGTACTGATAAAACCATTTCTCTAACTCATCCGTTTCGTGCTTGAAAAAGAAAAATTGCACCAAGCTGAACTTCCTATTTTCAAGCTTGAGGTCTGTACTGAGAAGGTTACCACCTGTCACTAATACAAATAAATATAAAAATATATTAAGGTTACTATTTCCATGTTACCTGCCTTGAGCAGAACTAAAGCAGGAATTAATTACATAAAATAGCCTTAAATATTTGCTGATCAGAATTCTTCTAAATGTAAGTTGGGGTTTTTTAGTAATTAAAGACAGCAACATCTTTTCATACTAGAGCTCCTAGAGAGAAATAGTGCCTACGGGTGCCTATGATCTCAAGAACTTTAGACTCCCCTTTGGTCTGAAGCCGATTCACCCTTCTGCCAATTTACAAGGAGTGCATTTCCTTTCTTTCATATTTTTTTCCTACCACTTAGATTTTTAAATTGAACTTTTGCAGGACTTACTCTCTATGCACACACACATTGCCAGCAGTAGAAACCTGTAAAAATGGCACGGCTTTTTTACCATGTATAGCATTGACAAACCCAAAGCATTATGCATGTTGGTTAAACTGTTGAAGAAACGCATATATATATATATACACACACACACACACACATACACACGTACACATGCATATATAATTTTGAATTATGTATATAGTTTGTAATTAAAAATTAAATACAATTCTAATTTAGCACTTAATTTAAATACATTTTAATTTAGCATTTTTCTTCTTCATGAATGGATATGGATTATTAGAACAAGGGATTTTATGTCTATAAAGACGCATTCATGCAGAGCCATTTCTGAGCAGTACACAAGCAATAAACATAGACAAGAGTAATCCTTGAGTAGAAACAGCTATACTGCTAGACAGAAAAAAAAAACACCCCAAAATCCAAAAGAAAACCAAAAACTCCGACAGTTTATATGTTTTTGTATGTATGTATATATATATGCTGTTCCAGAAAGACAGTTGGGTATCTTGAGGAATGTGTCCATTTCTATATAATGTACTATTCCGTTTAGAGATAAATTAACAAAGTACTGTTTATTTTATAGAAGCTATTATACCATAGCCTTTGTTTATGTAGTTACTTCTAAGAAGCATATTGCAGATCAAGAGAGTAAGCATATAAAAAAATGTGTAATACTGTATACTATGAATGACGACTTCTTTCACACTATTTCTCTTTTTGGATCTTATCATGTAAAGAGTCTTTCTTTTCCATATGCAGACATTTGACACTGATTTTTGTCCAAAAGAAAGGAAGACAGAGATTCATTTCCTAGAGAAGTTTTACATTTTCTGAAAGAATTATAGTTAATATCTTGTATACATTTTTTCTCCTCTACATATTTAAATACCAGCAGAACCATTGAAGGATATTTTGGTGTTTAAATCATTTACATGATTAAAAAATGCTATTTCACTCTAGAACTTCTACATTCTGTATTAAAAATTTACAAAGTTTTCTCTCTACATTAATAGAACATTCTGAAGAGATTTTAAAATGAAATGCATGTCAAGTGATTATCAGGGCAATCAAAATGGCTAGTTGATTGCACACACTCTCTGGGAACACTCTTTACATTTCAACCCCAACAGCACCAATCCCACCCCCACCTTGTGCCAAACATCCTAAAGTTGGGGGGATTCTTCATTTTCATTTTACAGAGGCATTATCCATCATAAAATGAACTTTCCATTTATTGATTGTTACTAATAATAACAACAGTGGCCTTGTCACATAAATCAGAAGCATTGGTATCTCCAAGGCTTTTTAACAGACATCCTTGAACAATTAAATTTGGAAGAAGGTTGATAAATGTGCAAAAAAATTATTGTGTTTTTTTTTTTTTAACTGAGAATCTCAAGAAGTTCCAGCGGAGTACAGACCTTAAGCAGGTATACATGTACTTAATTTAGTGTATGCAAGTAAATCCCAGTGGCTTTAAGTTCAGAGTGTACTGAGGCTGAATTCTGGTAAATCAGTAGGGTAATAACCCTTCCAGGGATGTGAGTGCTGGCTTTGAAAATCAACATACTTATTCCCATGTACCCTTGGGATAGGGTGCAGTTACAAAGACCCCAATTTTAAACCTTCTTAAAGGAATCTAATCAGATGTTAGACACAATAAGTAAACAAGGATTCAAAGAACAAATAAAGGGTTCTCATTTTTTGCTTTCTTTACTATATATTTATGACTATAACTTACTATTTTACAGCTTCATAATTTTTCAAGCCACTTATTAAAGCAAAGCAGTAATGCTAGTTTTAATTATTATAGGTTTGATATATGCTTTGATGCCCCTGAATGAAAACATCTGCATGGTGATCTGACCTATGTCATTAACTTGCAATCCTGCTCTTTTAAGCAATTCATATGAACCTTATTGAGTGTCCCTGTGTAGACAAGACCTTGTTAAAAAAAATAAACTACGGAGAAATTTAGCTCTAGAGTAACACGTTCATGTTTGTTGCATAGCATGAATATTTGAAAAATGTCCTGTCTTCCCTTTATAAAAAGTTAATGATCTCAAGTAATTGCTTACTCAAGGTAAAAATCTTTAGCAAAAACAAATTTAAAAGTGCTTCATTACAGGTCTGAGATATATCTACAGAGTGTCAGTTGCAGAGGGTGGACTGTAATGCCTCGTTGATACTGAGATTATAGCTTGCTTTGGATTTGGAATCTTCTTACTTTAGGCCCTAAAATTTCAAGTGAATGTGAATAACCACACCAATGGGTCTACTTCAGTAAAGAAATACATATGCACATTTGAGCTTAAGGACCTCAATTTTCCAAATGGTTATGACTGCATCACATTTTTCATACTAAACAGTCCCCTTTGAGAAGTTGCTTACAAAGGAATCTGAATGCCTACACAGTATCAAAATCAGAACTTTACTTTGTGGTTAGGCACAGTTCAACAGTTTTTAAGTTTGTATCTATTTTGCAAAAGAAAAGCGTCAAAGATTTACATAAAAATGTAGAATATGTTTATCTACATATATTTATTTACATATGTATTGATATTTATGTGTTTGTGTACATGTCTGTATGTATGCATGCATTTATATATATATGTGTATATGTATACACACTTCTATGTGTGTGTATGTTTTCTGACTATTCAAAATAGAAATACCCATGGATCAAGAATATATAGAAAAATTAAAAACTGGACTTGAACACAGGTGTCAGATTTCTCAAATAAAACAAGAATTTTATGTTTTAACACATATTTTGAAGAAATCCATAACGAGTTATAACTCTGGAAGGGATGCACTGGAGTATCTCCACACTACATCACTATACTTTGATTTTACTAGCGTCCTTTGTTTTATTTCCAGTTCCAAACCTTAGAAAGTCAGTTAGCATGACAACCTGAGACTCAGATAAAATAGTAGTTTATAGCAAGCCATCACACAAATATGCATGTGTCCTTTAGACATTTGTCCTTAAAACTTTAGTTAGCAGACAAACTTTACTAAAAGATTTTTCCTTTAAGCATGTAACATTCATTGGCAGCCCACAATACTTTAAAATAAAACTCTTATGAAAGCTCTTATCACACACTTGAATATATAATCTAAAAATGTAAATATTTGGCTTGTGGGTTTGCAAAATCAGGGTCAAATTTTGCAGATACATATAGTGTATTATACCTCTACTAATTCCAAATATCCTGCCAACGCTAACGATCCTGTTTTTATTTACAGATTCCTTGACACTTAGAAACAGTTGCCTTTGATATTTTAAATTTGTAGCACTTTCCTCCTAATCTCAAACAAAGTTTTATTAATATAATCTATATCCTTTCAAAGTCAGGTTAAACAGCCTTAATTAAAAGTCTTCCTTAATTGCATTTGAGACAGATAAATAATTAGATACCTTTCATGTAGAAGTGAATGCTTTTCTGGTATAACAAACTGAGAACAAATACCTCATTTTGCAATAGATCCTCCACTTGACCTCTATATTTCATAACAACTGAGACAAGGTTCTGTCTGGAAATTGGGAAAAAGAAAACATCAAGTTAATACAGTTGGATAAAGAGAACAGGGTTGCGCTTTTTTTTTTTTTTTTTTTCTCATTCTATAAATTGGGAATAGTTTAATTGATAGTGATGTTATGTTGGTATAAAATAAAGACAAGTGCTTATATAGACATCACGGAATTGAGCCTGGATCCACGGCTTTTTGGTAGTCATTTGCCACAAAGCATAGACGTAAAAATCTTCTACTTATACCTGAAGGACACACATTTCCCAAGTGAAAGAACTCCAGTAAGTGATTTGCTATTTCAGTGTCTGTTGAACTCCAAATCCCATTTGCTTTACTCTTTAAGGTTAGGCAAGTGCTTAAATAGCGCCTTGAAGAAGGATGGACTTAAGTAAATGCCACAATGCCTTCTTTATCAATCACTTCACAGACTAAGGCTGCAGAGAATCAGGCAAAATATCTGCAAAACACCTGGACAAGCTCTGTGTTTCAAAAGTCCATACTAAGTCACAAGTATAAAAATGTATATTATAAAAAGGGACACCATTGTTACATAATTCATTAAACTTTATTTGCTTACAGTTCTTAAGTTTACATGCTCAAACTGTTTCAGCAACTGCCTTTTCCACAGCATTACCTAAGCTGTGAATTTGGTTTATTTCTGTAGATAGACATACAGCACTCTGTAGTCCCATGCCTTTGTCATGCTACAGAAGTTACCATGAAGTTTGCACAGGCAGATTGCTGTGCCTTAGCAAAACTTCACTAAATTAATTTGGATTATGAACGGCAGTATACACCTCTCTACACGGAACTCCAGGACTGATATTTCAGCCACAAATATCAACATTTTAGAACCACAAGCTCCAAGTGCTATCCTCAACAGATAACCAGAATCTGAGCTTTGCCTTTAAGAAGCATTTATGTAATTATCTGTGATTCAAGCACAGTGAAATTCTAGCCATCATTTGTCAGCTGGAACAGAACAAAAACGGTGCCTATGAGACCTTGGCTAAGGTTGTTACACTCAGGAGTACACCTCCCTTTTTCTTTGACAGACTCCTCTGTAGGGTCAAATCTTCAGGAAAGGGTACGGAACCCTTAATTCACATTACCACATCCTGCCTACCCCCCTCCCGTCTTAGCCACTGGCTGGTAAAATGGGCACAGTATTGTCTTGATAGTCCTCAGTGGTAGGTAGGGTTTGCATATGCTTTTATGAAAAAGTGGAAATGGCAATTTACATTCTTTCTTCAGTGTTTAATTGTTTTACTCTATCACTTTATCCTTGACTCTTATATTTCCCACTGACCCTGTATATTAGGGTTTTCTCTCTTCAGATGTCTTAGAAGGAATTTCCTCCCCTTTGCAGTCTGGTAGCTGAAAGTCACAAGAGCATTTTGATTGCTTCAGAGCAAATGGACTACTGTTTACAGAGGAATTGTGTGTGTCCTCATGTATCTTACTTGGGCTAACTGAGCAATCAGAGATTAGAGTTGTAACTACCATCCAAAGTAAAGGTTTCATGGTACGTGGTTAGACTTTCATTATATATATTTTACGGCAAGAGAAGGAAAGAGAGTCATTGTACTGAAATTATCATACAGAACACAGAAATGTTAGGTGGCCTTCCCTGTGCTAATACCACAGTGGATTTCCCCACAGATACCTACTGTTCACCTCCTCCTACAGATGGTTTTGCTTTCACAGCTTTTTATTTCCAACCTGCACTAGCCTTATCTAGCCAGGCAGTTTGTGTGTTGAGTAGCTGTCTGGCAATTCCTCCTGTAATCGTGTTAAATCATAGCTAATGCAAGTTGTCGCTCTGCTTTGACCAAGTCTGCAGGCATAACATCTTTTTCATAGCATTACCCAGCTCAAAGGTTGTTCTGGACATATGAGCTTGCCTTGTTGCCTTGATGCATCAGGTAAGTATGTTTATTAGCATGCTTGGCCTAAATGCAGGTATCAGAATAATTTCATAGGTTGTAATATTAGTTTTAAAAATTAGCATATTTTCCATCAGTTTATTCTACCCTAGAGAATTTTCTGTATAAAGTAGCCATAATTTTACATCATTAATAGGAAACAAATTCAGCAACTTGTAACAATGGTCAAAATACCTCCACTAATACTATTCTGAATCTTTGGCTGCTAGATAACTAACAATATCCGTATGTTACCCCAAAAACATACTTCATACTTCTACATCTTTGATAGCTGTTTATAAATATGGCAATGCTAACCAACCCATGAACATTCAGTGTTTCTTTGACATTGAGGAAATTTTTGGAGCTTTTATTGAACCAAGGCAACATGGTATAATACTTTTGAAAAGAAAAGTAAAAAAGTACAAACAACTCAAAAGAGTCCGTCTTAGATCCCTACTGGTCTATACGAGAGGAAGATGACAAGTATATAGCATATATTTACAGGTTTCCTTTCTAAAATGCTGTTTATCACCATGCTACCTAAGCAAGCTGTGCCTAACTGCGTGGATCAGACTAGCCATTTTGTTATAGTTACTGGTACTTCAGTGTCAGAGATTACGGGCCAATGGACTGCAGTTCTTCTGATGCACTCATTGATTTACACTGTGTTTGGTTTTCAAGCTAGGAAAATCAGTGCGGGAAGCAATGTAGGGGCTGCCAGTTTTATTTGGTCACATTTGCCTGTGAGAGCATATCTGATTATTACAGAGGTAAGGTCCCAGTTCATTCTTTTTACTTCATCTCAAGCCAGTTCAAACAGTTGTTTTTCCTTCTCTGCTGGATCTAAGCAGATTGAGCATCTCAATCAATATGTTCCCTAAAACACAAATGTTTGTGTGCTACAATCAGAAATGTAACTACAGCACATGCAGACAATCCTGAGCATTATTATATTTAGCTAATCTAAATACTCACAGCTGTGAAGACACAGCAATATGGGAAAGTAATCTGCTGGCCTTCCTAAGTACCAGGCAGATTTGCATAGCCTGTGTTGAGCCCATTCTACCTCATCACCATTCCACTGCATCCATCTACTCCATTCCTATTACAGCCTCAGCTAGATGTAGAATTGAGGAATTATAACATGTTGCAAACATGCATCCCAATGCAGGATAAGCACAAAGATGTTGTTGCATGCTACATTAGAAAGAGCTGTTGTGACTAAGTATGATATTATTGACTGGCCTACACACAAAAAAAAAAAAAAATACTAGGGTGGCACTGCTTACAAGAATAAGGGCTTTTCTTCTCTGTATGGCTCATCTTATAATTTTGGTGCTGCATCAAATCTAAGTGCCTTCTCAACATAATTGTGCCAGTGCTTTCAGCTCAACCTAGCTGCTTCTGGCAGGGAAAAAGAATATGTGAACACTGCTAAAGAAGTTTTCTCCAGGGAGTGATTTTTTGATCCCTATGTTAAGGAGTGCATGAAGGCTTGTGTTCACAATACTTGAAGTAGCCACACCTAGATAGAACCACCTATGCATCCTGCATAGAACCAAGTGGGAACCTACTCCAGGCCCCCTATGGCTCCAAGATATGTAAGGTTTTTATTCATTAAAAGGGAGGGGTTCTGTTCAAAATGCCCAACGTAACATGAGGCAGTCCACCATGGCGGTATTTCCATACCATAACATGGAGGGTATGTAGTGCAAAACCTGGAGCAAGCTTTAAACACAACCCTGGAAGACTGCATATGTGCGAGGAGTCTACTGTGGTGCTGTCTCATGGACATGACCTCCAAGGAGCAGTCCCTGGAATGAACTAGGAAGTGGATGAGGACCAGATTAGGGAATATTTAAACTGGACATACATAAGTCCATGGGCCCTGATGGGATGCACCCATGAATTGTGAGGTTACTCTTGATAATCTTTGAACAAACATGGTGATTGGAAGAAGTGCCTGAAGATTAGAGGAAAGCAAATGTCACGCCCATCTTCAAGAAGGTCCCAGAGAACTACAGGGTGATCAGCCTCACCTTGAACCCTAGGAGGGTGATGGAGCAACTAATCCTGAGAACCATTTCCAGGCACATGAACTACAAGAAGGTCATAGAGAGCAGTCAGAATGGATTTGTCAAGGTAAAGCTGTGCTTGACCAACCTCACAACCTTCCACGACAAAATCATACGTTTTTAACAGTCATCCATTAAAATCTCATAAGGAAGCTAATAAACTGTGGGCTGATTGAGCAGACAGTGAGGTGGATTGAAAACTGGCTGAATGGCAGAGAGTGGTGGTCAGTGGCACAAAGTCTAGTTGGAGGCTGGTAACTAGCGGTGTACCACAGGGGTCAGTCCTGGGTCCAGTACTGCTTAGTATCTTGCTTAACAATCTGGATGGCTGGGCAGAGCACAACCTCAGCAAGTTTGCTGAAGACACAAAACTGGGAAGAGTGGCTGATGCACCGAAGGGTTGTACTGCCATCCAGAGAGACCTTGACAGGCTGGAGAAATGGAATGACAGGAACCCCATGAAGTTCAGCAAAAACGAAGTGCAAAGTCCTGCACCTGGGGAGGAACAACCCCATGCACCAGTACATTCTGGGGACTGACTGTTTGGAAAGTAGCTTTGCAGAAAAGGACCTGACAGTCCTCGTGGACAGGAAGCTGAACGTGAACCAGTAATGTGTCCTTGCAGCAAAAAAGGCTAAAGGTGGCTAAAGGTATCCTGGGCTGCATTAGAATATTACCAGCAGGTTGAGGGAGGTGATCCTCCTCCTCTTACTTAGCACTGGTGAGGCCACACCTGGAGTACTGTGTCCAGTTCCAGGCTCCTCTGTACAAGAGAGACATGGATATACTGGAGAGAGTCCAATGAAGGGCCATGAAGGAACAG